AAAAAAAAAAAAAAAAAGAAGCCATTTTTATTAGTAAAAGAGTATTTGTAGTTTGTACAATATATAAACATGAATTGAACTCTAATAATTCATCAACAGTTACAAAAACATGAGCTTAATCTTCTCAATCACATGGCAAGATATAAGCCCCTATACTCCCTTTTGTTCTTAGCATTACAATGTCCCTTTGCACTTGTAGCTTGAGTCCTTAATGGCCAAAGGACTGAAAGTATTTTAAGAGCACTCTTGTCAAAACCAATACATTTCTGAATAAATTTCAATACACTTTTTTTTTTTTTTTTTTTTTTTTCTTCGTAAAAAATGGTTGTGGTTTCTAGAAATGCTAATAGGATGACAAATTGGATATATAGTAATTTCAAAAGATTCATGTGAAACATGTCTCCATCCCCTATGAATTTGATAACACCAACATCCATCTTCTTTTTCTTAATCTTCATTTTTGAGAAACACCCAAAAGGGTGATGAATACTTGGGTAGTTGGGTTGTTGTTCCACAAGGTCACCATTCCTCTAGACTAGGGTAATAGTGGTGGCAACAACATGACAAATTTTCAATAAAGGACTAGTATCTTTTGGTTTATATAATTTCAAATGAAACCTTTTCTATACCAAAAAAAAGTGAAATGTTCTGAAAAAACTTATTCTCGATGCATATTAAGAAAGAAAGTCTTAGCAAAACCCTATTTAGCCAATTCTACAAACACTTAGCATACATAGTTTAAATAAACATTAATCTTCCAAACCTTGTTTAATCAAAACCCAAAAATTTGTAATCGATCATCCACCAATTCTTTTTGAGAAACTTTAACAATAACTTTGATAGCACATTTCACCCAAACATTGATTAATCATATTATTCACCTTGGTTAACCATCCATTTGAATCTAAGGAAACCTTTCTCCACTTTATTACTCCTTGAATTGAGAGCTCTAGTACCTTGATTGGACCAACAACCAATTTTGCAAATGAAATCGAGGGTGCTTGCACCACTTGAAACAACTTCGGACCAATTAACCAACTTTACAGCACAATTCCGAGGGTAAGCAACTATTGTAACCAATTCCAATTGCAACCAATTTTCTTGGTAGAAATCTCCATAAAATAAATCCAAAAAGAGATTAAGAATAAATTCCCAATGGTAGAAATCCCCATAGAAAATCTAAGGAACAATCAAAATGAAAATTGAAAATAGAAATTAGTGGAGACGAGGCATCATTGGTGTAGTCAATAAATTGAAAGAAGGGAAGGAGAAGAATGGGCAATGATATCTGTTGCTGGGGAATACAGGATGAGAGGAGTGGTTAGAAGGAAGTAAGAACGACTAAATCCTTCCTTTTTTTTTTTTTTTTTTTTAAAGAAAGGCCATATAAACGAACAATGTCGCAAACCACGTCATTCCACCTCGTCTTGGACCCAATATATTCAACCCAAATATCATTACCTCAACTCATTTATAGCTACTAACAACGAGCTAGAGCTCAAATTTCAAGATACTTGACTCATTTAGTGTTCGGTAAATGCTTAGAGAATTTTTTTAAAAAATGAATAGGCCAATAGGTAGCTAATTAAGAATAAACATACCAAACACCTATCAACAAAAAGAACTCTAAAAAAGTTTTCTCTTTCTTCTTTTCCCTTTTCTCTCCCTTCTCTCTTGCATCTGCCTACCCTCTCTAGCGCGGTGGTTTTTTTGGTCCGAAACCTTTGAGCTTCCGACGTTTTGATGCTTAAGCCGCTGGAGGATCCCCGGCCGCTCAAGCATGCTGGAGCCGGCCTGTGCTCCATCCTCCGATGACCCTTCGGGGTCTGTCGGTTTATAGGTCCCTTTCCGGTGACCCCTTTTGCTCTTTTTGTTTTCTGGTTGTTTTGTATAGTTTTAGTTTCTTGTACAGTTTGTTTTTTTCAGATCCGGCGACCCTCGGCTCTTTCCTGTTGATCTTGGTAGGGGTTCATTGGGTTTTTCTTTTTTTGTTCTGTTTGGTGCAGATCCGGCGGCGTTCTTTCTCCTCCGACGGATCTGAGGCGGCGTGCGCGAGGGCTACCAGATCTGACGCCCACCGCGGCTCTCCTGCTGGTTCCGAGGGTCTTCCGCCGCTAGATTAGGTGACGGCACGACATCCTGGAGCCTGGTGCTATTTCTTCAAGGGTAGATTGAAAGGTGTCCCATATGGATTGGTCGACCAAAGACAGTGGTATTTCCGGGGCGTTCGTGGTTGTTCGAGTGTTGAGTGCACCCCCTTCAGCCTCTGGATATGGGTCTACTCTGTTCTTTTGTTCCAGTTGTTTTTATTATTTGTTATCTTTGTAGATGCCGTATGACGATCTTTGTATGACGGTCTTTGTAATGAATCC